TGTAAGCTCAGTACTAGATAAAGATTATATATTTTATTTAACATTTAAATCCTTGAGAATCATGTTGCTCTTAATACATCAACATAAAAATATTTAAACTGAATATTGAATGTTTCTGAAATCACATTATTCAAGATATTGGTTATTTAGTGTAAGAATGCTGATAAACCTTTGGAATGAAGCTGATTGTAATAACAAACAGAATACTTTCTTTCAACAACTCTCAATCTCAGTGTACTCATATCTTAGTAACTTGAGGAGCTTCAGAATTTTTATATTGTCTAAATAAGATACCAAGCCTGCCTTTGTAATTTCTGCTCTGACTACTTCATAAGTCTGTGGACTCTTCACCTCCCACCCACAAAGCTTGTTAGTCCAGAGCAAAGGTAAAACTTTTTGTTAGAATTTAAACAAATAAAAAGCATAGGAAACCTCTTAACAGTTGAAACATTTCTATCAGTTTCACTCCCCAGGGAAACAACTCTGAGTTCTGGAACATCAACCCAAAGCCAGATGGAGAAGCGCAATGTTGCCAACACATCGTCTTGGAGGATATAGCAGAGTCAATGTGAAACAGCATTACAGGTGACTACTCCATATCCATACTAAATTCATTGCATCTCAAATGAAAGCACCACTCAGTAGGCTATTTAGGAGGTGAAGAGTTGTGATTATACAGAAAAAATGTAAGGGAGCTTGTAGCATTCGTTATACAAGGAGAATCATTGTTATGAAAGTGCTTACATTTTTTCTGATGCCAGTCACATTATTCTGTTGCTCAGCTGATAGATGTGTTAAAAAAATGTCTCTAATAGCAGCAAATCAGGTAAGGGAGGGTGTCAAGGAATATAGTTACTCTGGATAATAAACGAAGCCTACTACAGAGATTTTCTTAGCCCTGCCGGGTTTCTGTCATCCTCTGTATCACAACAATAGAAGACACACCAAAAAATTTGTGCTAGACTATCAGCAAATACAAAGTCATTCAGAAGCGTATTAGATTACAGGGACATATTTGTGTTGCTGATCTGTCTGGATGAGCCCCAAAAAAGCCAGTTGCTTGATGTAGATCAGCCAGAGTACAGAACTTTGCATGATAAAAAACCGCACAATGCAGTAAAAAAAGACAGATGAGTATCTTGACCTTTCTTCTCCATTGGCCTTTACCCTATTTTTGAGCTTACTTTACTGCTGTGATTTCTTTTTTTCTTCTTTGGATTCTAATTAAACTCTCCTTAGGCTTGCTAGCTTGATATTTTTGTTTTTGTTTTATTCTTCTTCTTCTTTTTCTATTTAAGAATGAAGGAAGCCTGTTTACCAAGCAAGTTTTCCCCTAATCTCACTGCTTTATCTATAATTTAAATGTGTCATTATTGCACAATATCCAAGTAAAACTTTGTGAATTTTAATCAGGTGGGTATAACAAGCTTTCCAATTATTTTGAAACTGATTATCACCCATTATGTAACATACACATCGTTTTCACAGCTGTGCAGTAATGGAAAAATCCTAGTTTGCATCTATGACTAACTGTATTTAGCTCTGAACCAGATCATATTGAAAGTGTTTGATGTTGGCTGCCAGGTGAGAAGTAGGTCCCTACTAAAATGCAGAAGACATTTTGCTGCTGCTTTCCTTGCAGCCAAGATTTCAGCTTGTCACAGTCTGCAAATACGAATGCCTTTTCTCTTTGCTTTTCCAATTTTCTTCTCCCACACAAATCAATCTTAAACTCATGCAGCTTGGTTAGATTTACTGCCAAACCATAGTGCTGCAACTGAGAACAGAATCAGACCCAGCAATGCACTTTTTCTTCAAAATAATTAGCTGCATACTGTACAGCCCTCTGTCTCTGTCCAGCTATATGTGCTGTCTGGAGAACCTACATATTGAATTTCCACAGGTTATGCAACCTTTAGGTTTATAACAAGGACTACCCTGGTTAGAGAGAGCCTTATAAAGATGAAGCACCACACTTGGATAATTCATATGCATAGAATCCATACACAGACCCAAAGTTATTGACCAGGCAGAATAAGGTTTTCCAATCATCATACTGTGCAGTTTTTAAAATAAAGTGCTATTTGTTTATGGCTGAACCTTGTATGCGGCTATTGCATGCACACTTCAGGTTGCATTGTCAAAAACTGGAACACCTTCACCAAAAAAAAAAAGGAGCCTGTGTAATAGGGCAATAACACACTTGTTTTGTTGGTTTAGGTTTTGTGGTTGGGTTTTTTTCATTTTATTTTGTTTTCAAACATAACCTTCATTAAATGTAGAGCATGTGAACACACAACAGTTTCCTTGACTGTTCCCCACACAGAGCTGTTCATACAGGAGGAATACTAAGGAGATATGTTTCTAAAGCTATAGACAGTTTGTCTATTTATTTCAGATTTTGTTTTGTGGTTTCTTTCTTTTTTGTTTGTTTTTCTTTTGTTTACTATTATGGCTAAACGTTATAAGAAAAACTTTTTTTAAAGTAGTGTCAATATCAAATAGTATCCATCAATCCCTGAATCATGCTATTCAAAGTGCTTAAATCTACACTAAAAATAGAACAACAGAAAAGTACTCCTCACGTGGCTAAGGATGTCTAAATGTGACTGCGGTCAGATAGTTACATCTTACATTTATTCCACATCCCAGTCTTCATCCCAGGGCATGTAAAAGGGAGGGAAAGGGGAAAATAATGCATTGCTTTCAGGACACTGTGGTATTTGGTGTCCAGGTGAATGAAGGAAAGTGCCATCAGTGCCTGACAGGTGTCTTTAAGAGCAAATAAGTAATAGCTTTCTTACACTGTGAAAATAATCAAATGTGCAAAGCTCTCTTAAAATTTCATCTGGCCTGGCAGCTTCACTTCCATTCTGTGACTTTTTTGGCACATATTCAGAGGGAGATACCGTAATAAAGAACAGATTGCAGAATAGGACTTGAGCAAATTGTCAGAGAAATAAACATTTTTAAGCAAATAAAAATCGATGCACTTTCCAAAGCTCTATTAGCTTGTTATGCAGATACTGAGATTTCTTGACTTTCACGACAGGAGCGTAGCCATTCTCTCCCACACTGTCAGCTCTGGATTACTCCCACAAACATTCCCCAAACTGCAGTTTGCCTGCTCTCTGCCTATCACTTCTCATTAAGAAGACCATAATATTATAAGTTGTACTTTTCTCATTGTGACAACCAGGATGAACAAACCCCACGCATCCATTATATTTCCCAATATCATTCAGATAACATAAAAATACCTAAAGCTAATTAATTACATAAATAGACTATGAGGTCTGTTTGCCAGGACACCAGTTACATTTCTGCCAGGGTAAATCAAACCCACGGCTACACGACAGTGTGCTGCAACCAGTAACTCTACCCCGGCTTCCATGCTTCTGCTGGCAGATACGAGCAGAGAGCTTGGCTTTAATATGTTGTACAGCTACGACAACACTCTTCTCTCTTTCTAAAACCAGAGAGGACTTTTCCATTATTTAAAACATGAGTAAATTACTTATTTAATTTGTCTTAAAGATGTCCAAATGTAAACACAGTGGATTTTTTTCTTCCCTGACAGTCATGGTACACGCATTCTTTGCAACTCCTCAAAGATAGAATCATACATAAAAAATAAAACTAATTTATTTATTCATTAAAGTGAATAAATTGTTTTTAATACTTCCAGGTCTGATTTAAATATTAATTTTGTATAAATAAAGTTTATTCTGAAAACAATGATATTTCTTGGTATTCATGTAATCATTTTCTGCCTGAGTTCTTACTGAGATCATGTTGAAATTAATCAAGTTTTACTTCTCTTTACAAGTTAAAATCAAATGAAAGAAGATTTCTTAATCCTGAATATATAATTTTAAAGCAAATACAGGTTTTGGAGCGTTAAAATACAAGAGGACTCTGTAATCTACAGCAAAATAATATTTTGCTCTTCTTTTAGAAAATAACACTTTCTTTAATACAAAGTGACAAACCATCTACAATACTGTCTTTTTATTCCCGTTTGGTTTGGAAGCCATCATTGTAAATATCACCAGGACTCTGCACTTCAGTGCCTATTGCCTCACTTGTCTGTCTTACCTGACAATTGCAAATGATCTTATTTGCAGGATTTTGAAAGGGAGAAAAGAAAAAAGTTAAATGTTTAAAAATAAAATCCACAACCACATTAATACTTTTCCAGGAAGTGTTAAAAGTAGGGTTTGCTTTTATATTTATAAAAGGGATACAATTAACTAATTCTTAAAATAATAATTAAAAAAAACCCAAACCAAACCCAAGTAAGCAAAAACCAAATCATCTCTAGTTTCTACACACTCTGTAGTTACTACCATGAAGTAACCGATACAGATTGGATATATTCTGTTGTTTGACAGGTATCTACCAAGTTACATGTTAGATGATCAGACTGTAGTGTTACCCCAAATGGGGGGCGTTGTAAGAGCAGGGAAGGAGCAGTGCACATTACGGAAGGAGAAATGAAACTGGAGGTCTCAGTGAGGGATGGGGTCCTTCTAAGAACAAAATATTCTCCAAAAGAGGTGAACTGCAGCAGGCATGGCCTTCAGGAATCAGGCTAGGCAGGCCAACAAAATGGATAGTGCTTCTGATATCAACATAGCTTTGTCCAAGCATTCCCAAGAGAGGTTAAAAACAAACAAACAAAAAGTCTAAAACTATACTAATGAAGCAAAAAAGTTTGCTATCTATACAGCAGTCTCTTCATTTAAAAAAATGTAAATATACAAATTCCAATGACATAGAAAACAAAGTCGAAAATGTGAATGGGAAGAGACATGGGTAAAACAGGAAGACTGATGCTACAAAGAAATTGCAAAAAACATATGTACAAGACCCTGTTTTTCCTCGTATGTTATCGATTGTAATGCATGTTTAACAGCAGCAGTCGAGGATGTAGTTCCAGGCACCGGACTGCAGACTCAGCTCCTACTCAAGGGGGTTGACAGCCCCTTGCATTTCGGTCACCAAATGACACTTGATATACTGGTCTCCCGTGGCAAGAGGGGCAGGATCGCACTGTTTGTGTGAGCCTCTTCTGGATTCTGCTCCCTGTTAGTTTTTGTCTGTGGCCGCTGCCCATTTATAAGTGTCATAGGGATGTTGCAGTAGGTATGCTGGTTACCTATTGAGGTAAGTGGCAGGGTGCCGGTAGGAGGTACATCGTATTCATAGCTTCGATAATAGTGTTTCTGGCGCATCTGCGAATGATATGTGTTATGAAAGGTGGAGCGCAGGTCTGGGTGGGCAGTGGCAAGAGCAGTGGAGGTGGCAGCAGCCATGGAAATTGCAGAGACTGTCTGCAGTTCCCCAAAGGGCCCCTGCTCACTGACATCTAAAACCTGCTCGTGTGAGATGGGTTCAATCCTCTTAAAAGGCATTTCATACTGTAAACGTTTCCAGAACTTGGAATTCAACTTGTTGCATTTTGGTCCATGCCATTTAATGACAGTGAGGAGCTTGATGGTATGTTTCAGGGCCTCAACCTCCTGGTAGTTCATAACTCCTCGTAGTTCACTGCATTCAATGAGGATCACTTTGATTTCACCAGTAACTAACATGTTTCGAAGCCTTGTTTCCAGTTCAAAGATGCTCCAGCCTCTTCTTACCACATAATTTGGAGTCATGACGATGATCAGTCGCTTGCTTTGGTCTACACATCTTGCCACATCTTCAATGTAAGCTACAAGATAAGACAATTATCAATCTAAGAAAAGACTCTGCCCCCATAGACTGTGGAGAAGCAACAGAGGAAAATCCCTGCTTCTAGAAGAGCTCACTGAAATATGTAAAAACATCACCTGCAAATGTGCTGGGTTTGATTGCCAGGACATAGTCCTAAGCTTTAGGTGGCCCTGCTTGAGTAGGAGGGTTGGGCAAGGTGACTTCCAGAGGTTGTTTGCAACCTCAGATATCCTGTGATCTTGTGAAACTCCTATTCCCTCATGAACAATGGAACGTGAGTGTTTGCTTATGAGCTGCACTTTTGTACCAATGTCTGTATCTTTATTGGAATAAGTTTGTCCATCACCATTTTTTTTTCTTTAAAAAAGCAAAATCAACCAGGTAGGCAACAGAGCAGCAACCATGTACTTCAGGGGCTCAGTGATACTCTTAATGTGTACGGTAGGCTTTGATTTTTCTTTTCCTGTCATGCTCCCACCACACACATTCACAAAATGTGTTGTCTCCTGCACAGTAATGTTTAGTTTGCTGTAGATTTTAAAAATATCCATGTGATTGTTTGATGTTGTGCTTTGCCTATAGCAAGCATCCTCACTCTTTCTTATCTTTAGTAAAAGTTATTGATCTTAGTAGCTATATAGTCTATATAGTCACACTAAAGATATGAAGCATACTACAGCAACTGTACGTAGGTTGAAATATGTGAAAGAAACATGGAGGAGATCTACTTGCACCAGCTGGAATAAATTCTAATTTTCACTCTCTGAGAATAATTCAGTGCATCCGCTACACATTTATCTGTAGTAAACACTAACAGAATTCACTGCTTCACTCTGCTGCAGATGATAATATTCAACCCTACCTTAGTTCAAACACAACTTTTTCTGTCCTGTCTGAATTTCTGTAATAAATACTCAGAATCATTAATATCTTTCCAGGCAAACTCCAAGGAACAGGAAACAAAGACCTCTGTATAAATTCCTAGATACGTGAGCTCTCAAAAAATCTGTGAAAAAATGTTAGTCTCACTCATTTCTTTCACTTATGGATGCCCTTTCTGCCCTGTCTCACCTTCAATCAATATAATACAATTAAAAAAAATATTCTTATCTGGAAAATATACATTAAGTGTTTCGGTGGCTTATCTTCACCATTTTCTAACACAAGGAAAGAAAGATGACATTCTGAAGGAGTAGGTGTAGAAACAATACTAAAACAATCTCTGCAATCACTACATTTGCTGTTTAGGATACACACAAGCATAAAGACATGACTTACTTCCTGTGGGAATCAAATCCCTGTCTGGTATGAACAATTTGTATCCATAATGCTTTTCAAGCATGTCTGGTAGGATCTCAAGAGCAAATCTTTCTTCTTCTCCAGTTTCTTGATTCCACTGGTCAGGATCCACTTTGGTATAAGATAGATATGCATCATAGTCTTTGTTGTCTAAAGAAACAGAGGAAAAAAGTAATTTGGTTTATTCATTATTTTTGCTGATTTCCTAGATAAATCCCCAGGAATTATTTCTGGGAGAACTTCCCAGGAATAGGGAACTTGTTAGATAAAATGGGAAGCTTTCATCCAATCTCCAGATATGAATCCATTCACCTTCCCTGTTTCACCTGGTAGAGAAAATCCTTATTTAGACAGACGCAAGGGAGAAGGGAATCATACCCGTAGACTGAGGTCATTTTGTTCATAATCTTTTTTCAATGCTCCATATCAAGGAAATCCACTCAACTGCGGGGTGACAGCTTGGGAGCACAGAAAAAAAAAGTCACTGAAAATAATTTCAGTTCTCCTCTAGCTTTAAAATGGAAAATAAATGCATAGAAATATCTAAGCTAATGTGCAATTGTCTCTGTTGCATAGTAAAAACATCTCAGTCTTGCCAGATTTTTAAGATAAATTTAGGGCCTGGGGCTGAAATGTTCTAAGCATATGTGTAGCTTACTTGTAAAACTCATTGGCTTTCCAGGCCTGAAATTATTGCCAAGCTTAAATCTTTGCAGCATCAGCTCCTGATAATGCAGTTTAAATCTATTGAATTTTGTGTGCTTAAATTTGAAAATTTAATGTTACATTAATATTCATTTCTTTCCTTAACAGTGTGTTACTTCATTTCAATATGAGAAATAAATATGTCTTGTTTCTTAAAGTTGCTTGGTGTGCCTACTTGAAAGACTGAATCAGAAGAGTCATCATTAATTTTCATTAGGAGGTCAATAATGCCAAGTGCTCTGGAACTAATTCAGTGGAATAAGAGGTCACGTTTTGACTTTTGTTGTGAAGAAAGCAGAAAAAAATCAATGGCAAAAGTAATGAAATGTTAACATCCTTCTAATTCTCTGGACAACACTATGCACAGGCTATCAAGAATATCAATTGCATGTAAAAGAGACTTGATGGAGTACTCAACTGTGTGTCATAAGTAACATTATTTTCAGTCACTGATGACTTCAGTTATTTACTGAGCCATTCATTTCCACATTTTATGCGTTTTTGTACTCTGGTAGTATTATTTGAAAAAGTCTGCCAAATGCAGGATGGGTGAAAGGAGTACAAATTAAATTAATGAAACAGTGCTATCTTGAACATTCTTCTCTTCCTCCTGAGAAACCATGCATAATATGTTCATTAACATCTGCAGATGACAAAATTAAAATAGTAAAAATGTAACTACTTTCAAACCTTCCAAACCTATGAAATGACTGTGTGCTCATTCTCTCCCCTGGATACTTTTTGTGTGATAATATTTATTGGATTGTTATATCCACCGAAAACAAAGCAGACAAACAACACCAGAAACAATAAAAAAGAAAAATAAGAAAAAAAGCACACTGCCTTCTATGGTTCGCTCTTTCTATTGTTTTTCTTATGAGCATTTCTGTAACCATGATCGTTAATAATAGACGAGAACCTAATACATTTGACAGTGCCTTGAATAACATTGAATGGATTAAGTATGAGGTAAGTGGATATTACATAGTAAGTTTTTTCTTCTACTGTAGCAGAGGTTTAACACACAGAAAAGTCAACAGATATATGGGGAAATTATGGCAACTGATAGATATGGCAACTGATAAAATGATGATGTGTTAATGCCATTTTCTGTTGTCACCTGAGAAATGTTCATAACCATAGTACATGCTTGAGAGCAGTGTCGCTCTATTAAAAGTCTTCAAGTAAAGATGAGAATGTATCTTTTCTCAAAAGGATAAATAATAAGAAATAATGCACTGTTCAAATTCTTAAAGGCTCAGGGTATTCTCTGTTAAGATGGTTTCCACATTCTTACTTAGAGCAAAAACTATTCATGCTATGCCACTGTTGCATATGTAAATAGCACACTAATGCATTTATTTGAAATACACATTTCTCATACCATGGAGGTTCCAGAAATTCCACTGACTACAGCTGCATTATCCTATATTGCAGGGAACACTTCTTTCCACCCTATTTCCCTAGTTTTAACAGCATTTGAAGGGCAAAGAATGGCCAGGAACCAGGGTATGTCTACACAGATGGGTTCAGGCAATCATGAATTTATTGAAACTCCAATCCAGTAAGATGTATAGTCTGGTTTGTTAGATGCATTAGCATAGTGGTTTCCCTGAGCTATTATACTCCCCATCTGTCAGGGTTTTTTAACTTTGTTTGATGAAAAGTAAAAAGTTCAGTTTACAGCAGAACTACCTTATGTGGTAATTTTGTTATCTGATGGGATGTCATATTGGCATGAGCAGACAATTCACAAAATGTGAAATGCCTGGGATACACAGGGGATGATCATATATGCCTTTGTTTTACTTCTATGATATTTATGTATTAGTCTGCTTGTAGTTAACTAAAATTATTTGGGTTACATTGCCAACTCTGCAAAACATTTTAAGAACTACAGCAGGCAGAAAGCTATGCAGCCATCAGAAGCTATCTTTTGTGTGATGTGATCAAAGAGCACTGGCATTATTTACTATTTTCTCTAATTGTTACGTATAGTCAGAAATTATAGAATTTCAGTTGTAATGAAAAATGGGAGAACTGATAAAATAGTTGAAATTTCCCATGTCCAGAAAAAATGTTTAAACACACAGTCGATAATGTCTCTGCAAGTGGTTCTTAGTTAAATTGTCCCACCTACTTCTGCTTGTAATGGGTGGGACTGATGCCTACATTCTAAGGAATATTTCTGATCTTAATTGATGGTTTTTAATGTGCTGTCTCAATGGACTGAGGGGGAGGGATGGGAGCATGCAGACATCCAGATCTTATTGCTGAGTCAGTCTGGGAGCTGTGGCTTGTATCTTGCCAGTCTCTTGGTCATGTCACATGGAAGCAGAAGGCTCCAGCTTTGTTCTCAAGCCCTTTGCTCTTGGGCTGTTTTCCACATAAGCCTTAATTCAAGCAACTCATCCAGGGGTCCTCAGACTCCCAGCAAGAATGCAGCAAGTCCATCACAGCTTTTTGGGGTTTTTGACCATTCAATGCAACAGGTATTTTACCAGTGCAAACATTTGGTGCCAGCACATCTGCCTTTTTAAAGAAAAAAACACTTCACCACTAAAATTCCTGATCTGTTCCTAATCATAAATCAAGTTATAAAGGACATGATCTTAGTACTTCTATTATTACATAGTAGGATAATTACAGATTTGGGCACACAGTAAGTTCAGATACTGGTGGGATCTAATATTTGGTGTTAGAAGCTAAGGGCAAACATCCAAATTCAGAACAAAGCTGGTGGCAAACTAAGCTCTTTTTAAAAAATGAGAATTTTCTCATTTCCCTTAATCAGTAAAAAATTAAGTCTTCTATCCAAGCATTGTCGGAATGAAAATGTGATTGATTGTTGCTTGCACTTTGGCTTTAGATCCAGATTATGCCATTTCAAAGATTTGTTTTTGTCAGGCTCCTGTGCATTAGCAATAAACTGGAATATAGTTACTCACTACTTGCTTCCTCCCACGCTTTGGAAGAAAAGTATCTACTAATAACCAAACAGAGGAATGCTGATAATTTCATCTGAAACTTTTTTTATTTCCCATGGAGACTGAAAGCAATTATCCACATACATACACTTTTTTCACATACACCTGAAAGCACTCTTTATTCCCTTAACCACTTCAGGATTCTTTTTTTTAGAAATGTACCAGAATAAGTTCATCTTGCACTGCCTCCAGGTATGTCTCAGAGTTGTATTATATAATGGCTGTCCCTTAATTTCGTGAAAAAAACTGAGTGTGACATACGATATCATGCAACAGAAGTATTTTGAAACATTTTTGGTGTAATAAGTTTCCTCGTCCCACTCTGTGTGAATGGATAAATAATCCTCTCCAGTTATGTGGTTTGTAGTTGCCTTCCACTGCTTACACTTAGTGTACAACTAGACAGGAGCTCTTCAAATCAGCTTCCTCTGTTTCTGTGAAGCTTGTATTGAAAACACCGAAACAAAACCTAAAGCAGATTTTGGACAGCCAAATTCAACCAGACCCAAGGCAAAAAAGAATATTTGTTGTACTGTAGACAACTGTGAAATCATGTGGAAGGTCTGGATTAGTTCAGCACAATGGGGTCAAACAGCCTGTGCTCACCGTATGGTGCATTGTCCTCCAAGTTCCAGTCACTCCCAAACCACTGGTACTGCAAGACTCTGGTCAAAACAGCCTATGAGGTACAGACTTTATCATACCATTTCAACTATTCTATGGAGTTGAAAGTGAGTAATGGTCATGGAACTGTGCTCAGCTGTATTCGGACAAAATTGTTTGGATCAATCTTGTAGGTAAACATTGAAGGTGAAATCCCAGCTTCATTATAGAATCATAGAATTGTTTAGGTCAGAAAAGACCCTTAAGGTAATTGAGTCCAATCATTAACCTAGCACTGCCAAGTCTACCACTAAACCATTTCTCCAGGCACCACATCTACATGACTTTTAATTATCCCCAAGGATGAGGACTCAACCATTTTCCTGTGAAGCCTGTTCCAATGTTTGACAATCCTTTCCATGAAGATTTTTTTCCTAATATCCAATCCAAACCTCCCCTGGTACAACTTGAGGTCATTTACTCTTACCCTATCACTTGTTACACAGGAGAACAGACCAACCCCCACCTCACTACAACCTCCTTTCAGGTAGCTGTAGAAAGTGATAAGGTCTCCCCTCAGCCTCCTTTTATGCAGGCTAAACAATCCCAGTTCCCTCAGCTTCTCCTCAATAAGACTTGTTCTCGAGTCCCTTCACCAGCTTCTTTGTCCTTCTTTGGACATGCTTCAGCACCTCAATTACTTTCTTGTAGTGAGGGCCCAAAATTGAACACAGGATTTGAGGTGCAACCCCACCAGTGCCAGGTAGAGAGGACAATCCCTTTCCTACTCCTGATAGCCACACTAATAATAAAACATGAAGACATTACTTCATTTAGCAGTCCAGGATTTAAGCC